TATCCAGGTCTTGCTGCAGTCTTTCCCTCCCTACTACCATGCTCAACACCCGAACAGCCCGCCCCATCCCACCCACAGATCCAGGGACACAAGCCCTCCCCACCCCCAAGCCCTCCAGGGATGTGTGTCCCCCACGGACAAATCGATCACGGGTCTGTCCTGCAATCTAACCCAGCTATGCAGGGCCTGCCCCAGCTCCACTCCTTCACTCACTGCTGTGGTGCAGGGGGTGCAGACTGAGGCCCTAGCAGTGAGGGAGGGAGCAGGGCACAGGCAGGAGCAGGGGCTGGGGGATAATCAGAGGCCTGGGGGGCACTTTTCTCCTGGGCCTCTGCTTGTCCCACCCTCGGCCCAGCCAGGGCCCCAACTCCCCCCAGACCCTGCCTGTTCCCCGCTCCCTCCCTCACCACTGGGGCCTCGATCTGCCCCTCCCCCTTCCCCCCACAGACTTACCAGCTGCCGGGGGCACGCTCCCAAATCATTTTTTCTCATTTCACTTTGATCTGCCCCCCTCCCCTTCCCACCCCACAGACTGACCTGTGGGAGTGGGGGACAACACAGGGTAGATGTTGGGTTGCTTTTTAATTAAGGATGTGATCTCCCATCCAAAAAGGTTGGAGACTCCTGAGTTAAAGGCAAGAGTCGAGATGGAGAAGAAATTTAAAAAAATGTGGTACCATCTTACCTATTGATTTTGCATCATAAAAAGTTCTAGAAAATAGAACCACTGTCACTTCATGGCTGCAGTTCTTCTCCTGTCCAATAAGAATGGAAGGAAATGAGTAAAAGCAAGACAGTTCTAACTTCTGACCCATACAGTTTTCAGCATATAAACAGGAGCTGCACATTCCCAAAACAGCATAGATTTCCCTGAAAAAAAGGAAAACAAGCACCAGTGCACCTGCAGACTATACTCCCTGGAGCTTGTAAGACTCTGCCATGCTAAACTGAACAGTATCAGGCTAACAGATATAGCTGGTCTAATAAAAGATATCACATCTATCCAAATAACCTTGTCTGGCTAACAGGAATATGTAAGAGGAGTATTTTGCATTACTCTGTAGAGACTGGGAATGGAACTGGTGAGCTGTGCAGAATTTCTTGGCCACATTCTCCCAGGGTTCCTTGGGAAGCAAAATATAGGCTCAAGTAAAGGACTAAGTGAAGAAAAACAGAGCTACCCAGAGTTCCCTTGAACTCCTCTTCTCCAGTCCCAATTAAAACGAAGTAGACCAATATTACCAGTAAAGCTGCATGGAGTTTAGGTTTGTGATTCAGAGCTCTTGATGCCCTATGTCTCCTCCCACTCGATTTTGTCTATTTCACACTCACCCCCATTGAGGGTTGCTAAAATGTTCACGTTTATACTGAAACTTTTGGTACTGAGGCTCTTGTTTTTGAAGCTCCGCAGCTGAGTGAATTGCAGGCACTGGAAATTAGAATAGATCTTTCTGCAAATGTGTAAAAAAATGTAATGTTTTACAGACTGGCCTTTAACTGTCCACATTCATGTTGTGGCTCCTACCCCTTTTCTTCAGAGTACAGTACCAGAAGACAGATACTGACTGCATGCAGTAAGTTATACTGCATAACAGGCAAACAAAAGGGGTGACTTGTTCACTTTGAAGCAGAATCTATTCAGAACAGCAACAATACCTTCCATTTGGTGAAGAGATCAGAAAGGAAACCATTCACAGCTTTCTCAAAGTACAGGTCCCCTACAAAGACAGCAGCAACAAAAAAGCATCAAACATTTGTGCTTATTTCTCTGATACGTCCATACGGTTCCTAGTAACCTTACCCTAACAGTGCCAGCACAATGATTTTTTTTAGAACTAAAGCCTATCTTCCCGCTGTTGAGAGTCACTCATGATATTACCAAAGCAAAGAACATGAAAAATGAAAAAAAAGCAGGACAAGTTTTACAGGAATGAACATAAGGTACAGCTTTCGTGTCAAGGACATTTGACCCCTAACTTCATACCTCTACAATGTAATTATGGCCAGGGATCCAGGTTCTCTGTTTGCCATGGAAAAACGTGGATTTCCTCTTTTAAAGGAGAAAAACCCATATTTTCTCCTTTAAAAGGGAGAAAAACCCAGGAAACTGTGGGTTTCTCCTTGCAGGCTGGCAGAATTCCAGCCTGCAAGGGTCTGCTTGGGGCTGGGGACAGCAGGACACAGGGGGCACCATGTGCATGTGTGTGCACGCACATACAAATGTGTAGCAGCCAGGCAGCAGTGCAGAGAAGCTCCCACTACATAAGTCTATGGGGTGGAGGGACACAGACCATGCATCGGGATGCAGGGGGTGGGCAAATGCCCCCCAAGCAGGATGTGAAGAATGGGGCTACAGTCTGGCTGGACCAGCTCCAGGAAGAAGCTGCCTCCACAGCCCAGCAGTGGGAACCGAGCATGGGAGGGAACACTTCACTACCAAGGCCACCAAGGTCGGGTGCTCCTTGCCCACCCAGCAGCAGCAGCAGGGGCCACAACTCCATGTTGCTGCTGCTGCACCTCACCTTGGCAGCCATAGCAGTGCAGCACTCCCTCCCATGCTGGGTCCCAGCCTGGGCAGCGGAGGCAGTTCCTGCTCAGAGCTGGTCCAGCCCAGCTACAGCCCCACACCCTGTCACAGGCACAGAAATCTGGGGGGATGGGCACATGCCCACCCACAATCAAGTCACCTGTGCCCCCTCCTCACAACACATGGCCTATACACACACTGCCCCTTTTCCCACCCTCTTCTTCATACACTGTGGAGCTAGGGCCCAAGGACAGGGGGCAGCGGGTTGGGAGTGAGGGGCACCAGAAGTTGTGGGGAGGTTGTAGACTGTAAGTGAGGGGCACTAGCACGGCCAGTGGGCTTGGAAGCAAGGGGTACTGGCAAGGCTCAGGGGGCTGTGGCTTCAGAGTGAGAGGCAACAGCACGGGCAAGAGCAGGGCATCAGAATATCATGGCTGCTCAGCAACACAAAACTGGGGGGCGGAAATGGGATAGACACAGCTGCATCTGAACCCACATTCTGGTGAATGAAGGGGGCAGGGGAGGTCTGATTTCCCATGATCACCCCCCCCCAACGCCAAAATATATAGGTATTTCAAATTTATTTTATAATGATTAAGGCACTGATAGGTTTTCAAACTGTAACTATAGCAATAAAATGTTGTGTTCAACTGATACCAATAAAACATTAAGTATTAGCTGAGCAGAGAGAGAGAGAAAGGGAGGGAAAAAGAGAGAGAGGGAGGGAAAGAGAGATTTCATTTTAATCATGGAAATACATGAATTGGGGGAGTTGATCAGTGAATCTGCAATTTTTAGAGAAAGAAAACCAGGAGTCCTATTTATAACAAACTAGGAAATTCTCTGTTGTATCTTCTTCACACAGAAGATGCATGAATGTTTTCCTTTTCCGCTCTGTATGGCTGCCGATATGCTTGTACCTACTCAAGGAGGCGTAAAAGAGCAGTTAAAGAACTCAGCCAGAAAGATGGAACAATGATATATATAAGGCAGCTCAAGTACACAGCTTCAAAACAGTTAAGATGATCCTGACTGGGATCTAGGCCAGTGTGGGATTCCCTTTCAAAGGCTAAGTTTCAAAGGATGGTCCATCAAAGACCCTAGAAAAGAGGGAGATTTAGAGTGAGCTAAGCAACATTGCCCAGGGTCTGTCATTGAAAATAAGCTGACAAGCTGGAAAGATTCACAGCCATGGAAAATGTACCATAATCAATAAACAGCCTAGGCTGTTTCTCCCAATTCAGACATGTGAATTAGCTATATCAAGTATGTCAAACTCACCTGGCTCTACAGGCCAGTTGAGTGTATGGGACCAGTCTACAGGCCAGACTGGGTCCACAGATACTCCCTGCCCCCAACTGCATGCCAGATCCACTGCCCACAGTGCCTGCTCTGGCCAGACTGGGATACACACCGCACATGCCACCCGCTCCAACCAATCCAGGACAGGCACCACATGCAGCGCAGGTTTCAGACCAGTCAGAGCAGACACCAGATCCGGCACATGGGGAACCAATGGAGCACATTGCCCCCTGCTGCATGTTGGATCCAGCACTTGCTCTGACCAATCCAGGACTACACCACACACAGCGCCTGCTCCAGGACCTGTGTTGCATGCAGCACCTACCTCAGGCTGGCCAGAATGCATGGCTTGTGTAGCACAGTCTTGGACTAGTCAGAATGGGCATCATGGGCACGGGATCCAGTATGCTGGGGGGATCCCAGACAGCACCAGGTACTGGATGACGTGACTCTATATGCCAGATCTTTGACACCCCTGAACTATATAAGTAGCCTTAGCTATGGACAGAGAAATTAAATTTGAGTCAGGGCTTCTGCAGGTAGGACGCCCTTCTTGTTTTACACCATGGGCTTTATACTTGTGGATGAAAGAGCAACTAGGACCTTATTTTCAAGAAGCTGTTTTTGAATCACTTTAACCAACTGCAAAGACAGGAACAGTGCTTTGGCTAGTCCAGTACAAAGCCAGTGCTGTGTCAGACGCAAGGACAGATATCTGAACCATACCCAGAGAGAAAACAAAAGCTTTGCACAACCACAGCCTCTAATACAAGGAAAGGAAAAATTACCTACATACCATAGATGTCAAAATCCCACATTTCACAGCTCATCTGGATAAAGATATAAACCATGGCTGAAGTTGAGCGGAACACCACCTGCAATGAGGTGAAAGGTGGTATTATCAATATGTGCACACTCAGAGAAATCTTTAAGTTATTTTCTACAAAGAAATGGTTTCAGATCCCAAGCAGTAACCTAACATTCTCTAACACCACAGCTGACTGTAAAGTTACCTAAAACTGTGCTTACTGGATTGTGGCACTTTCTTCTCAAAGGTTCTTGTATTTCAAAAACGTATACAAATCTTAAGACCCTTCAACCCAGTTCATTGCCAGTGCTAACTGTTTGCTTTTTGGAACTGGGTACTGTTCTCTACAACATTCATTGCCATCTAGAAGAGTTTCCATTAACCTGTACACGAGCAATAATCAAAATGATCAGACACGAACATGGAATTGAAGGATCTATCAATGTACAGGACAGCACAATAGCCTATGTTTTCTCCTAAGTTTGTATTTCATCTTTCACATTATTATTTCCTTCAGATGAAAACACAAAACTGGGGAACAAAAATTTTTTAACCACAAGAGTCCTGGCCAAAGAACCTGCCAAACATCAGGGAGGATCAAATAAAGAAGATCCTAATATCATACAGTAACTCATTAATGGTGTTAAACACCAATGCTGTTTGCCATAGGGTTACCAAAGGTGCAGTGATTGGACACCCTTGATTCAGAGGCCCTGAAGAGAGAAAAAGCCAAAACAAAGAGAGACTTTATAAAGATCTTACCCGTGTATCCTCACTGATGTACCCACATGTGACCTTCTCACTCTTAACCCACAGCTCACCAGCCTGTGCCCTACAAACAAACCAATTCAAACACAAAAATAACCTGTTTTAAATAAAGTGGTTATGGAAATCAGAAAATTGAACCTTGTGTGTCCTAGCTGGAGACAAAACAAGCACTGCATCCTAATGGGACAGAAGTACAGCCACATAAATGCATTTCAGTAAAAATCTGTCTACATAAAAAATATTTTAAAATAGCCACCACATGGCCCCAGTGCCAAAATGCTTCCCACTGAATTGCTCTCGCTACTAGTCCTGCTACAACATCACCCTAAGAAGTTTTTGTTTTGTATCCTCTTACTAAACCCCTTGTCACAATAGTATTTAGCTGTCAGCAAGTACCAGCAACTAACCATGTGGCATTCACCAAAGCCAACATGTGGATTTGTCCCATCTCTAATTCTCACCACTTTAATTGGACTCAGGCACCCAATAACAGGAGACATCTTAAATGTGGAGCTTTAATATCTGTCACATGCTTCTCAGAAAGCCTAAAAACACGTTTATGCTTTTATCAGGCACGATTCATTCCTTTTAAATCCCAGCTCAAGACTGTGTGTGTGAGATTACCATACAAAAATTAAGCCACACAGAGACCTAATGAAAATTCAACCCTGGTAAAAGAGCACAGTATAATTATGATAAATACTATGTATTATGGCTCTCTTGAAGCAGAAAGCAATCAAGACCATTTCAGACACAGGTGCAGTTATGTAATGAGCACGAGTGATGCCCAACTAGACCATGTCCTCATTTCCCTCACCCATCAGAGACTGATTTTGAATAGTAATCCCTCTTAAAAGGACTTCCCAGGCCAACCATGCTTTGGGTTCTACAGGCCCATGTCAAGAAAGTAGCACACTCAATCCCAAAAGAAAGCTTAAACCAATAGCACTTGATTATACAAAAACAGCAGTGACAGTCTCCAGAGGAAGGAGCATTCTCTTGTTGCTGGAAAGTTTGGTTCTAACATATGAAGTAAAGAGGCAGGTGATCAGGAAAGCAAACTGGGAGGAAAAGGATACTTGAGGTGCTCAGACAGTGAAGGGGAACCATAGAAATCAGAGAGATGTAGGGCTGGAAGGGACATCCAGAGGTCATCTAATTCAACCCCTGCCTGAGGCAGGATTAACCCTATCCAAACCATCCCATGCAGCCATAATATACTCTACATAAGACTACCCTCAACCCTGATAACACAAGATGTAACACCTTAGACTGCCACAGGTAAAGCAAAGGAACCACAGCAGCCAATGTCCTGCTATTATAAAAGGTTTTAAATATATGATGCTTTCCCTTCAAGTATTTGAAAAAAGTGTTATCATATCCCCTTATTAGGCCTCTTTTCCACAAACTGAACATGCCTAACTCCTTTAGCTTCTCTTCATATGACTTGCTTTCCAAGCCCTTTATCACCTGACTCTGTACCCTAAATTCTCCATGTCCTTTTTTTAAATGTGGGAGCCCAGAACAGCATTCAGTACTCTAGATGAGACCTAATCAGTGCCAAGTACAGAGGCACCATCACCTCCCTTGGTTTGCACATAATGCTTCTATTGATACATCCCATAACTGCATTTGCAAGAGATAAAACACATACTCAAGATTATTCAGAGAACTGGAGTCCATAAAAGATACTTTCCTTCTGTTCTCACATTGGGTGTGTTGAGCTCACTTCACTGATCTAATATCACCAGCATTAATACAGCTAAGTGTTCTGTAACCGAGTTCAAAAGCTAGAGGCAGCAGATTTCTCCCTTGACATTTTCACATTGACTGATAGCTGTAAGTGTTAAAATGCTAGGTATAAAAATCCCCAAAGCATTTCTTTTTACAGTTATTTGTTAAGTGAGATCTCTCTGCACATATAAGCGCTTCCATACATGGATACAAGGAATAAATCAGAACAGTGCAATACTCACCGTATCCCAGCAAATTCCACCTTTTGAGTGATGTAGGCACATGTGCTGACCTACAAAAGAGAATTTCAGAGGTCAGGAAAAAGGGGGGGGGGGACCACTCAAAGCAACCAGAATGACCTGCAGGATACAGTCATCAGAACATACTGCCCCTACACCATTCTCCTAAAAGGCTGGAGAGCATTTTACATGTTTACAGCTAACATTTAAACCTCCAGAAAATCCCCCTAGAGCTTCGGAAGGCCACTGGAAATAGTTTAATAACAAGAGAAGAGATCAAGTGAGCGAGGGAAAAGGCAGATAAATTTGTCTGGTCTACAGTTTGCCACACTGGATAATAGCCACGCTCTTGAGATTCTGAAATGGGAGAATTTGAGGCAGATGTCCAACAAGTGGTAATATCATGAAGCAAAGTTATTTTAGTAGATTTTTACATGACATGTACTCAGATTCAATCTCTCCTAAATGTTCAATCAAAAGAATACACAATGTGATAAGTGCAGGTAATCAGAGCTCCATTACAATAAGTATTATTTCCAGAAAAAGACAAGGAAAAACTTAACTCATAACTGCAACATTCTTACATACAGCTCCATGTCAAGTCACAAGGCAAAGAAACAGACTGCTTACAAGCCCATGCCTTAGCCTTTTCACCCAGTCTCTATAGTTCTGTCCATTTGCATGTTAACTAATATTACATGTTCCTTAATAGTAAGAAAAGGCAAAATACTTTTGCCAACCCATACATTAGAACAAGTATAGGCTTTACCAAGCTCTTCTTCAGTCGCCACATATCCCCACGCCCAATGTACTGATCCTTAAAGGTAAGCTCCACCAGGTCAAGGGTCACATCCTGGAAAACAGAGATGAAGAAAACATGTACTGATGTGCATTTACAGTGCATTACCTTCTATGGGCACCCATATTTGTGCACGACACCTGCTTTGCAATATGCTAATTAGCACACATCAGAGCAGACTCAATTAATCAAGCCTGCTGGAATGTGCTAATTAGCAGCTTTGGTGTCATGTGTATTCAGTGTTCCCACGCTTCAGAATGAAAATGGGGGTGCTTTAACTAAAGCTCATTGAACAATCTTCAGTTAAAGCGCCCCCCACCACCATTTTTAAGAGCAGGACACTGAATACATGAGACACTGCAGGTGCTTTAATTAGAGCAGCTCCTGAAAGCCGATCTAATTAAAGCACCCCCCTTCCCCAACCCCGGAGCATGTGTAGAGATGCCTTAACATGTTCTAGTCTTGGTCAAATGTTACATAGAAAGTCTTTATAAAGGTCTTAAAAGATAAAGAACGCTCTCATAAACCTTCCCTCTTGTTATGAAATCTCTAGGGAAACTCACATGGCTTGTACAATTGAAAGTGACAGGCTGGCATATTACATAAATCAGCAAACTTCAGAGTAAAGATTTGAAGACCCTGCCTTTTCCCACTAGCCACAGTGCTGACTTGAAGCACAAATGAAAATGTCTTTTTTTTTAAACAAATATTTCTATTTTGATGCCAGAATAAACATGGAGGCACCAAAATTCCCATTTGTACTGTGAAGCGAGGCAGACAGAAATACTATTACTGAAGCTTTGATCATGTACACACCTTCGGGTCCACAACATTCACATGGACATCCTGGTATGGTCTCAGTCGGAATACCTGAGCAACAGTCTGATCCACACTTATAGTTTCTACCGTAGAGAAGGAAAGAAGGAGGATTAGAGAAAGGCAGGGCCCAAAATAGTCTAAGTTGGCCTCATCCTATTTTCCAATACAAAGTGCCAAAATATAAAAGGGACTTAATGTAGGGCTACCATGGGATACAAAGCCTAGAAAGCTAGCATCAACATCTCTCAATGTTCTGAATAAGATTCAGGCTCTTATCTGACAGGATAGGAAAGAGAGGTGGGGGTGTGGCACTCTACATTA